CTGTAAGACAAAAAATAGCGGTGCACTCATCTGCGCTCATATTTCGAACTATCTCTAAATTAGCTTAGATACGCGCGTTTTGTAGTAGCCTCGTAGCTACGGCCTACGAGAAACTTTTGGACGTAAGCAATTCTTGAATAAACTTAATTTAGTTCCTCGTACAGTATAGATTTCTGTAAAATTACACCCGCATTTTTGATTGTAGAATAGGTACCCTGGTTTGCTTTACAACAGCACAGTAAATAGACAGGTAAGTAATCATGGAAGTCAACCATACTACAGACAGAAATACAGAAACATCTGCTACAACTCTTCTTCGAGTCAATAAATTCAAAAATACCTACTTACTTTTGAATTTATTGACTCGAAGAAGTCGTTATACAGGGTGTTTGGCGCATCGTGTGCCAAAATGATTTGGCGGATAGAATGGGTCATTTCTAGAGAATACAATCCCGGGATCCCGATTCCCGGGATCCCGGGATCCCGACCCTTTTCTGATCCCGAAAATCCCGGGACTGTATTTGGCTAATCCCGGTATTTTCGGGATCAGTGATGTTCTTGATACGGCAATTGCCGTAATATACGGCATTCAGGCATCTTAGGCACCATAAATACGGTATACGGCAGCTCTTTCATTACCGTATCAAAATATACGGCAATTGATTAATGTAGAGTTTTTCATGAGTTTTAGTAAACAAAAAAAAATATTTCGTCTAATGGAACGCACCAAATTGTAAATCATAGATGAAGTAGAAGCGCCATGAAAAGAAACGTCAACAGAATTCAACCAAATGCAACCTTATCCCGAGATATTAATGTCTAAAATCGTTAGTTCCTCATTTTGGTAGATTTTTCACTTTTATTCGGGTAGGTTCTAGGACTAAACTATTCAAAACCTTTAAAAGTGAAGAATAAAATAAGTAAGTTTAAAAGTAGTTTACGTACTTATAGTACATAATACATCAACATTTTTTTTTAATTTTAACCTTCCAAGTAAGCATGTTGTACAATACGGCAATTTTTCTAAGTTTTCCTTAAAAATCCGGCAATTTTAGAATTAGAATACGGCAACCCTAAATTTGTCAGGAACAACACTGTTCGGGATTGATATAAACAAGTCTATTTTGCATTCTACGATCCGTTGCGCCTTGACTATGACCTTGCCTAGATTCTACCTTAGCTTAAAATTATACAGGCGTGTGTATTGTGTGGCTGGCATACATTTAGTATGGAGGCTGGCATACATTTAGTATTGAATTTTCGGATAGATCCAGTTAATTCTGTAACCTATTACTGATATCGTTTGAAAAAGCTCGTGAAGCACTTTTAGAATCAGTAACCAGTTTTTCGATATCTTGTATAGTTTAGAAATAATCGAGTGAGATCACTTATCGTTTCCACCCTGTATAACGATAAAAACAAATCTAAGGTACGATACGGATACGGACTATACAGGTTCGGCCCTAGTAATATCTTTTTCGTAGACCTTAGACAGGATCACAACTTGAGCTAATGCCACAAACCTCCCAACCCCAATTGACTCTAAAGGAAAAGTTGCAGCTTAAAATTGATAAGAGTATGAAATGCCCAGATCCTGAAGTACAACTACAAAGTGAATCGGGCTTGACAAATAGTATCAGACGTGAAATGAGCCTGTTTGAAAATGGCGGAGTTCGTGGATGGATATCACTTAGAATTAGCATATAAGTATCTATTCTTTACCTCCAACGAGTGTAGAACCCGAGCGAGTGTTTTCAGCTGCTGCTTTTGTTGGAAATAAATTACGAAGCAGGCTATATTGGATGCTTTGATATTTCTAAGATTCTATTTCCGAAATTCTAAATAGTGCTTTTGATTTGTATATTTTTTTTATTTTATTTTGGTATTATTGCAACTAACAATATTTAAAACATCTTTTGAGAAAGTATACCACATAAGGCTGATCCCGGGATAGTCCCGGGATCCCGGGATTACCTATCAAAAATCCCGTAATCCCGGGATTGAAAAACATGCTCGGGATTGTATTCTCTAGTCATTTCCTATATTTTCNCTGAGAATGGCCGATTTCGAACTATCTCTAAATTAGCTTAGATACGCGCGTTTTGTAGTAGCCTCGTAGCTACGGCCTACGAGAAACTTTTGGACGTAAGCAATTCTTGAAAAAACTGAATTTAGTTCCTCGTAAAGTACTTAATCTTATAGATTTTTGTAAAATTGCACCCGCATTCTTGATTGTAGAATGCCCTGGTTTGCTTTACAACAGCACAGTAAATAGACAGGTAATCATGGAAGTCAACCATACTACAGACAGAAAATATGCAGAAACATCTGCTACAACTCTTCGAGTCAATAAATTCAAGAATACCTACTTACTTACTATTGCATTGATTGGAACATAGCAACGGATTCAAATTTTTGAACCAAAGGTGGTTTCATCCGCTTACCCTTGGGCTGCGGTTATCATCTGTTCTGTTAAAATACCATACTCTGTGGCATTGTTAAAAGTCACGATGTGAGCGCTGCAGGCTCCGCTCGGCGAGCGGAGTTCATTCATTAAAATACATGCATTTATTACTTGGCTCTTGCGTCGGGCTGGGTGAGCGCCGCCCTATCCTATTACAATACCAATTCATAAATTAGGAAGGACACTTTATTCATGCACGTTTAAGTAATTGTGCGATGTTTTTTTTTCATATATTTACTTTTCTTGAAATTAAAATTGTTAATTTTGCCATTTTCATATTATTTTTTTTAAATATTTAATTTATTATGTAGTTCGAGGAAGGTTGGGCACTTCATATTTAGTGACTTCCTTAGAATCAGATAATGTTCTATCTTTTAATCTAAAGATAATTCACTTACAGACAGAAAGACCTCTTGAGACTTGAGAGACAAACTGCACTGAGCAGGCAGTGTCTGGTAGTCTGTCCTCCTATACATAGTTGTTCAATTAACAAATAAAATAAAAAATGATTTTATGATGCTTACTTCTTCGGCAAAGTAGGAAATAACAGCTTGGTTGTAACTTATCAAAATTATTTTGACTGAAATGGTTGATTGCGGTGCAGATCTCTTTGAATTAAGTTCAGTGAGGGGGTGAAACCGGGGCGAAGCGCAAGGGATGAGGTCGACAGCTGTTTAGCACGTGGAGGGGCAGATGCGCCGCCCGCGCACGGGCAAGCTGCGCGTGCACCTGCGCAACGCCAAACTTTATTTTTTTAATATTACCTCCATCATGGCCACACAAGACATGATCACCATCTGCCTTATATTTTTTACATTTCCTGTATTTATAAAAGATTCCAAAGAAATCGTTTATAAATAGGTACTCTTGATGGAACTGGATGCTAAGAATGTGTAAATTTACAAGTAACAGCTTTTCTCTGTGCTTCCAGGTCGTTGCCGTTTGATACATCCATACAATAGTAAGTATCTAGGTAGGTACCTACCTACTTATTGCTTAATTTGTCCTTAGTAATTATCAGTAGGGATAAGCATAGGCACCTAATTCAGATGTTATTATCAAAGTAAATAGATAAGTTGATAAAATCACTCTGGCTTTTGAGGTAGCTTGCTAGCACATCATTCACTTCGTGCGAACATTAGGATTATTCAGGGTTATTGTTTGTTAATAAAAATTATTAATGAGAGGACGCACATGTGCTAATTTATGTGTCGCGTCAGATTTATCAGTTGAGTAGCGCTTTATTTACATTTTATGTAGGTAAGTATAGCTCTACTTACTATCTGTAAATATCTATCTAGACAGACTGTTTCATTGCTTCAATACTGCTCCGCGCGAGTTCACAGCTACACGTATTAATAACTTTATCAATAAATTAATAATGTATTATTATTTCTATTTGCATTTTACATATTTCTTGGCTTTCGCGGTTTGCGTTTAACCAAAACGGAGTGAACTAGAAAATTGGCTTAATGTTGTGTTTGTGTTACCTTGTTCCTGTGCCGTGTTTTATTCAGTCAGTGAAAAAAAAGAAAGTCAAAAAATTATAATTTTCCACCTTAGTTTTCCACCCACAGATATGTGTTTCCACCATTTTCAACGAATGAACGAGGTTGGCCTACATAAATTTTGAGAAAAACTAATTAATAATTAATTTTATTTCAGATACAAAATGGGTGTATCAAGCTTCATATGTGGATAATTTTGTCGAATGGAGGGAAAAAGTTCTACGCTCAAAAATGAAACGGAAAATGCAGATCCCGGCCACTCGTCACGTAAGAAAATGTTTCTATATAATTTACTACAACGTACTTAGTATGGAATATAAAAAATATCTATAAAAATAATATATTCTTTAAAAATTTCGAAATAATCACGTGAGTGAGCTTATGCTTAGTACATTTTTAGGGGCGACAAAAAAGGGGTATTATTTTACACACACAACTGCGAACAGCTGATACAAGAACTACCATCGGGTATCCCTATAAACTCATATTTCGTAAGACACTAGAATGAAAATCGTATAACGTACTATCGTAGTATGTAGTAAGCGTAAAATTTTTAGCGCAGGCGCTAGAGAAGTGTTGCTATACGAGCAGAGTGCGTAGGTACTAATTGTGTAAAAAAATACATCAAAATTACCAAGTCCTAATGTAAAGTATATTTTTCTTAATTATTAATATTTGAATTGAATCAAAAGAATTTGAGGGACATTAGAATTGTTTTTGTTTCATAACTATACCCTGGGCCTATCCCCATACAAAATGCCACGCAATTTACTATATAGGTACAAAATTGAAAATGTATAATGTATTTTTTTGGCTACAACAACACTATGCGGTAAATAAAATAAATCGGTATACCTTGATTGATAGGTACTTGTGCTTGTAGCTAGTTAGTTAAAAACAATTCCTATAATTAAGATAAAAATCTCGACGTCACAGCTTTTATCAGTGTCGTAGGTAGATCACGATATCAAAGCGAACACGTAATAAAAAAAGATAAACAGTGTAGTATTTATGAGCATGCGACTGGCAACCCAGTCAGATAGCGCCGTCGCGTTCACTCACTCGCTCGGTTCGAAATCGTTTGTTCTGCCACTGTTCGTTCGTGGCTCGCTTTAGTTAGTCAGTCGTCACGTGACGTAATAGTCGGATTGTGTCGTCGTTGACTTGACTCAGTGNACAGACTTGACTCAGTGTTTCTGTTTGTAGACGTAGCACAGAACGTTAGTTGCGAGTTTCGCGCTCATGACGGAGTGTTGTGTTGTGTTCCAAGTTCCTGAATACAAATAAGAGTGAAGTGAGAACCAGACATAGAAATAACTATAGTGTCATTGGATTGGATGTGGTTCATTATTCTTCAGTGAATAAAGAAGTTTGCAATATAATGGAATCATTAATAGGTAAACCTCTTGTTTTCTTTTCCATATGTTTAGCGATGCCGACGTCAAGATAGGGATGTGGGACGAGTCTAATCTAAAGTGTCGATACGTCATGTTTATCGTATCGATATTTTTTCATGATTAATGTAATATTATGTCTTGTGGGTAGATGATTTTTCATAAATAAAAGCAGGTAATTAGATATTAAAAATGCCATTATTTTGTAGGAATACTTCAATAATATTTTGGATTTTAATAATGAAATCATACAAAAGATCTAGTATACTATAAGATCTATGTACTTTTATATTCACATGGTTAAATTGAAGCATACTACCTAATAATTTTCATAATTACATACAGTAGAACGCCGACTATCCGAATTAATTGGGACCGGGGCTGATTCGGATAATCGAAAATTCGGATAATCGAACATAGGAAAAAACGAACTGTCACACATAGAATAAACTTTAATAAGTTTAAAAAACAGATATATTTCTACTGAGCGTTATTGTAGAACTGCTACAATAACGTTCAGTTGAAATATATCAGAGTTTCATCAAAACAAATCAAAAATTACTAGGTTTTAATTTTTTATTTTACGCTTAGGACTGATTCGGATAATTGGCGATTCGGTTAATCGGCGTTCGGATAATCGGCGTTCTACTGTATGATATTTTCTTGATTAGGTGTTTTGATCAGGCGTTAGTATTTTCATTGCATGGTAAGTTACTTGTTTTTAAATATTTTAAGGCACATGCAGTGACTTGGAAACATTTCACACTTCTGGTCTTAAACAAACCAGTCAAACATTTGAATGTTAGGGAAAACATTCAATACAACACAAACAGTTTTTATAGCGATGACTGCTAATTTGGCCTTGGTATATTTCAAACCCACAAGCGCCTCTAGCTAGTTTGGAGTTTTGACCTTTGCTAGATGTAGCAACTAGTCAAGGTCCAAAAAAACTTGTGTGTATTGAGTATCGAACATATTAATAATGAAATATTAACCATAACAACATGTTTTATCTTTATTTACATTGTTATGGCAGACCCATTATAGGGCTGATAATGTGAATAATTAATTTTAATGGTGATTCAACTCATTATGTTCTTTTCCTGCAATAATCATTGCAGAGTTTGTAATAACCTACCGAGAACTGTATAGCTTTGTGAGGATGTTGCATTAGTTGAGGACTGCTAGCGCCATCTATCGATTGGCAGGCAACTGAAACAGCACAAAGTGTTTACATTTAATTAATTATTTTTATCATCATTTGGTTTCTTCTCATACGATTCTGATGTTGGGTAGCACTACAGTAACCTTAGCTACATGGCCAGCTTTAAATGCAGAATATTATTTTTTAAAGTAGGTGCCCTGTGATTTTGTTACCTATTCTTTTTTTTTCTTGTCAATGTCAAAAACATCTTGCGCCACAGACCAGCAAACTAGCTTGTCATAACGCAGTCCGATTTAGACATTTGCAATAAATTCAAGTAACTACTCATAATGTTCCATTTATTCATGTTATTTAAATAACAATAAATGTAGAATACTCGTCGCCAATTGTACGACACGATATTTCTTATCATGGCATTATTTATTATTATCTATTTTATGGGATATAGATAAGAATATACTCATTCAATACCTATTCGCGTACCAATATCACGACGATTTGGTCACGAGAAAAAATAATAAGAATAATATCGTGCCATTAATTCTAGTAGGGTTTTAGTATGCAGGGATATTATTCCACACGCTAAGGGTAGATACCTATGTTAAACTTTTACGGCTCATGCTATCAGTGTGCTGTTTAATTAATGGGCAAGATAAAAGGCCGACAGAAAAAACTTTCGTCCGTCTATTATCAGCCCTTTTCGGTATGAATGCGCTCCATCTGGCGGATGCCTGCTTCCGTTGACACCGTTTCCGGGCTGTACACATTAAGTTTATTTTTTCAGCCTTCATTATGAGTGAACCCACAGTTTGTTTATGTTAAACCAACAAGCACTAAATTCATTCAGAGATTCTTTGTTACTGGGTCGCGTTGGGTTGTCTTGTAAACTTCCCCTCCAAAGAAAACTTACGAAGTTCAATAAGGCATTAGTTCCAGTAAATTGTCTGTTTCAGCCTCATTATTTCACACAGGCAGCAGTCTAGCGCGTAGGCGCTACAGGCGAGGCATTGGAATTCGAAAGCCGAGACCACCCATAAGTATGAGAACACCGCTCCTTCCCCTTCCCACGCTGCTTGCACTCGTGGCGCCGCCTCTTGCCGCTCTCTTAAAGCACTTTGCTGAATTTCATTTGCCCTTTGTGGTAAAAAAACCCATAACGATAAAAAAATGTTTTTGTTTCAACATAGTTCGTAAAGACCCTTATCTCTAGATGAATAAACCCCTTATCGTAGATAAGCGCCCGATTTATCTAAGTAACTTTTGGGAAGTCATTAATCGAAAATGTTCTAATTTTCATTTGAAACAAACTTTCCCATTGGCTTCCAATCCCATCAAATTCTGACGCTTTAAACTAGAAATAAATAATGCCCAAATGTAATGACCATGTACTTACTAGCCCGCATTCCATGCAACTACTTTCGTCTACTTTTTATTTGGTCTTAGGCCCGCCCAGCAGTACCGCCACATTCCATAGGCCCTTTTTTACGCTGTGTGGTCGCGGTTTCCGCTGAAGACGGCAACGTCGCGTCTCAGATATGAATGAAATCCGGTCGGTGGTGAGCGGTGTGGCAACGTCGCCTCAGACGCTTGCCTGATTGAGAACTACATCTCTCCCGCGTCGCCCCTTAGCCCTCTTAGCTCATTTATAGAATATTCATACATGTATAGTCGACTACCCGTATCGCGGTGGTCTATACTTAATTTAAACACTCTGTCAACACGTGATGTCTATTAAATTTTCATAGTTTTTATAAAAAATATTTTACCCTTACCTTTAGTCTGGTTTCTTGAGGTAAATGACATTCATGCATCGCTAAGTGTCATTTAGGCTATCATGGATGTGTAAAATGTGGTAGGCCTAAAATATACTTACCAATGATAAGTTTGTACAAAATGTAATAATAATCAGGGTCGCAACGTCACAGCTGGGCACCCCACATAGGCAATTTTCAACCCTCTTTAAAACTACGCACGCATGCGCAGTGGGGTAGTCATTGCAGTCACCGCCAGCCAGACGATACAACAAACGAGTAGCCAGCGATGCTTGAATCCAGTCGAACGCCATTTATACATTCTGTAAAATATAAAGTTTTTTTTCAAGTAGTGAGTTCGTCGCCATGTGCAGTTGTGCTACCTAAATTAAGTGTGCTACCTTCATCAAAATGCCTCTACTAGTTGATCGCAGTAACATAAGTGGTAAATATCGATCGGTTTGTTTATCAGAGGCCATTACCCCAGAATGTACGAGTAGCATTGTGTGTGTAGGCCTATTCCAATTACAATTCCTGACTGCTGCAAACAATTTATGCCTTTCTAATCACACATTTTGATCAGTGTAGATATACCACAAGTGAGATCTAATTACTTCATTTATTAAAACGTTCAAAAATACATTCCGAATTAGCATACCTATACTTGTTTTCTTCTTAATTGTAATTAAACGTGGTGTTTCGATTCAAACGATTTCAGTAATATCATCTTATCTAAATTGCAGAAACCTGAAATTCAAAATCATGAGTTTGCAAAAATCGTGTGCGGACAGAAACAGGGTGGGAGATAAAAAAAAATTGATTGTGGCCGAGTGCATGCGCACTGCTGAGTTCACGTAGAGGGGCAGGGAGGGCGCGGGACGAACCGGTGGGAATGGAATGCCATGACGCAGCCAGGCCGACCGGCCGAGGACTTGTTGTTATGTGAAACTGTTTTTGAACGCACACTCGCTCGTTTCTATGTTCTGCAGCTATAGAAACTTGCAATTTTATACCTCTACCCACAAATGCGATTGCTGGTGTATTATCATCACAGCATTTGACACCTAAACTGTAAACAGAGCGGCATTTCATAATTTGATACCCAATAACTTATTATATATGCTCTTAGATTTTGTACTATGCATAACTTATTGACTACGTCTTCATAAATATATTTAGAATTTAGATCCTCACTCGCCTCATGTCAGTTATATTCCAAATGACAAAAACTAACAAAATTATTTCTTTCTTTGCAGTGGCAAACAACAGTGCAACCTCACCATTGGCGACGCAAGTGATGACACAACTGTTCCTGAACAAAAATATACCGCCGCCACCATCCCCTGTTCCTTCCGACGACAAGACTGATAATCGCGATACGTTTTTATTCTCCGATGCCGATTTACGCCATGAAGATGAGCGACTGAAGACCTTTGATAAATGGCCCCTTACTTTTTTGTCACCTGATCAGCTTGCGCGCAATGGTTTCTACTACCTTGGACGCGGCGATGAGGTACGATGTGCTTTTTGTAAGGTGGAAATTATGCGATGGGAAGTGGGAGATGATCCCGCAATAGATCATAAGCGTTGGTCCCCGTCATGTCCGCTGGTGAGGAAACAAAGTGCCTCCAGCAATGGTACTGTCGACTCAGCCCCGACCTCCGGTCGAGACGAGTGTGGAGTGCACATACCGCCAGCCTCCAACGCGTCCGTTCGCATGCCCGGCCCTGTTCACCCTCACTACGCATCCGAATCGGCACGCCTACGCAGCTTCCAAGACTGGCCTAGATGCATGCGACAGAAACCAGAGGACTTAGCAGCGGCTGGTTTCTTTTACACCGGTCAAGGCGATAAAACTAAATGTTTCTATTGTGATGGCGGTCTAAAGGACTGGGAAAATGACGACGTACCATGGGAACAGCATGCAAGATGGTTCGACCGATGCGCCTACGTCCAGCTCGTGAAAGGTCGAGAATACGTTCAAAAGGTTTTAACCGAAGCCTGTCTCATACCCGCCCCGAAAGAAGAGCCTGCACCAGTGGAAGCTACCACAATAGAGAAACCTGCAGTGATAGAAAAAGAAAAAGAAGATGATAATAATACGATAGACGACTCTAAAGTATGTAAGATATGTTATGTTGAAGAGCGTAATGTTGTCTTTGTCCCGTGCGGCCACGTAGTAGCGTGTGCGAAATGCGCGCTGTCGACCAACAAGTGCCCCATGTGCAGAAGGACGTTCCGGGATGCAGTGCGTCTATATTTTTCGTGATGAGAAAAACCAGACTGTGACCGTATGCGACTATAGCCGTATGCTAGTCACTGAAAGCCCTGATACGTGCTGAAACCACTTGTCTGCGGGGCTACTCCGTGAGGCGGGGTCCATCTATGTGCTTTGGGCGAGAGCGAGACTGGGTCCAAAACACGGAAATTAACGCGATGCGGAGTAGGCCTGCTACAGTGTTCAACCTATGTAAAGCTTATTACAAATCAATAACATTTGACCAAAAATACCTGTGTCAAAATATCCGTATGTTATAAGAAATTAGAAATGACAGATTGACCTTTCATAACATTGAAGCTCATTTAATTTTAAAGCATACATAGTTCACCAAAAAGATGATTTGTAATGTGCACCAGGGCAGCGCTTAAAATTGATAAAATGGTCGCAAAAATAAGAAACTTTAATTGTAACAATTTTAAATTATTTATCGCTTAAAAATTCTAATGACATACATGTATATATAAAATATTATGTAATAATGTAAATATTTTAGCATATCCAATTAATTTGTCTTATCGACGTAATACAAAGCCATAGGTTGTTGTTTTAAATGGAGTAAATCTAAGATTTATTCCTTAAGGTATTTTCAGTTACTTTCATTGTTATTTTGCTAATATTTAGATTTTTTAATTTATTATTACATATATTATGTACTAGAAAATACCATTCCACTTGATCAAGAAACACGAAATCCTACTTACTGCAACATTCTTTAAACCATCCATGTGTACATGTGTAAGCTTTAAAAGTTGAAATAAAGAGATATGTAAGGTTACTAAGGTGAAATAAAAAAATAAATTATTATGGCTAGTAACATAAGGGTGTAGAATATCGTGCGGATTTCATCGTGGACGCGGTATTGTCCCGCATACGTGACATCTGCAAGTGCCCTTTTCATACAAGTACTATATTTCTTGTAATGCGTGGAATACGCACGCGGGACAATAAATACCTACTTGTATGAAAAAAAGGACACTTGGGTGTCACGTATGCGGGGAAATCCCGCGTCCGCGATAAAATCCGCACGATATTAAAAACACCCTAATATGTAGGATCAAAAAATTACAAGAAATAAATCATTGTCATTGAGAAGACCAATCTTTGTATGCAGAAATGCATTAAATTTTTCCACATTTTTACAATGGCAATTATTTGTACAGTGAATTTCTCAACTGTTTCCACTTTTTATTAGTGTTTATTAATCTACATGGGTTAATACATTAAAAATGAAAATGAAATTAATGTATCATGAATACTGATTTCGGAGTAAACTATGAAATTTGGGTCTTTTATGGAATGACCATTAAGACATTTTCATAGTAAAAATTTTGATTAAATATTAACATTTTGGGAATTAGTTACATAAATAAAGATTTATGTATGAATAGTAATATCGTTAGTTTTTAATCAAATAATGTATTAATAAAGAGATGCAAACATTAATAAAAATGGCGTATAATGGTTATTTTCAATAACTATATTGAAAATACTTGTATTGTAAAAATGTGAAAAACCGTGTATTTATAAAACTGTGTTTTTCTGGATGACAATGATTTCTAAGATTTTTTTAAATTTACATTATCATTATGTTACCTATATAATATAGTGATTATTATTTTTTATTTTATCCTAGTATACCTTGAAAGTTCTTCATTTTCAACTTATCAAGCTTGTCATGGGAATATTTTAAAGAAAAAATACTTAAATCTTTAAAATATTGAGAAAGAATCCTGATTGGTTAAAATAATACAAATTAATATCAATGCATCTTAATTTACTTCATTTTCAACACAAATATTTTAGGTAAGTAAGTAGTTTTTCAGAAAATTGTGAATGACTAATTTCAATACATATAGGCAATATTTTCGTGATATCAGATAAAAGTAGATACATGGGGAAGAAATTGCATTTAGAATATCTATAAAATTTCCGAGTCATATTTATTTTATTGTTTTCCATGGTCATTTTAATAAAATTGTAATCATGTATGTGTATGTATTTAAGTATGTAGTATTTTTATCCGTTATCTAGTCACCACAGTGCAGGCTTTGCTTAGTTTTGGGGCTAGGTAATTGGTATATTTGTGGAAATCATTTATTTATTTAAGTATTTTATTCATAAACAGCCTGTTCATATCATGTAACATAAGACAAATAATGACACCATCATCATCACCTAATGTATTATTTTAAACCGAAATTAATTAATAAAAGAATGTATATGTAAATTAAAGTCCCTTTAAATATTCAAATTGTTGATGTTAAATAATAAAACAATTAATTTAAATTTGATTTTTATTGCATTAACCTTTACTAAGGCAATACCTTTATTTTACATTGGGAAATGCTGCGTAGTGCATACCCACTGGCTGATGGGTTAATTATGTGGGACTCTCCCCGCCAGAAGGGCGGGGCCTACCCATTAAAACCAGATAATGTCGGACGATGAAGGTCCACACCAGCGCGAATTATCCTAACTTGGACTTCTCACAGTATGGCTCTCCGACTTTGAGGGGTCGACCAATACCCTCCTCCGGTTGTTTTTATAGGTTTTCTCCTCGCGGCCCTGGTTAAATAGGATGCCCGGCCTGTGATAACGGGTTACTCCATGCCGCTGCTCAGTAGACTGCTATACAGGGTGGAAACGTTAAGTGACCTCACTCGATTATTTCTAAACTATACAAGATATCGAAAAATTGATTACTGATTCTGAAAGTGCTTTAGAAGCTCTTTCAAACGGTAGCAATAATAGGTTACAAAATAAACTGGATCTATCCGAAAATTCAATGTTTCCAGCTTCCATACATTTAGTAAAACCACATAATATTAAAAACTATACAAGATATTCAAATACTGATTACTGATCCTAAAAGTGCTTCACGAGCTCTATCCAAAGGTACCAATAAAATGTTACAAAATAAACAGGATCCATTCAAAAAGTCAATGTTTCCTGCTTCCATACATTTAGTACAGCCACAGTCATGGCACTCATGTCTTGTTAATATTATAGCAAGTAAAGCCTAAAACCAATGTTTTCCAAGAACAATTTTAAAAAGAATGCAATTTACGAGTTAATTTTAAGTGTTTATTATTTAATAAAAAAAAATACTTTTGTTATTGTTTGGCTGGCATACATTTAGTATGGAGGCTGAAAACATGAAATTTTCGGATAGATCCAGTTAATTCTGTAACCTAATATTGGTACCGTTGGATAGAGCTTGTGAAGTACTTTCAGGATTAGTAAACAGTTTTTCGATATCTTGTTTAGTTTAGAAATAATCGAATGAGATCACTTATCGTTTCCACCCTGTATAAGTACCAAGTGCAGCCTTCCAAAAGAATTGAGCCCGGGCAACCGGACTATTAGGCCTTTATAGGGCCTTATTTGGACTATTGGGTCTAGTGGCCAACTTTTTGAGTTTACTCCAATAACTATTTGCTTAGCCGATAGAGGAAAAATATCCTCTTGTAGATTAAATACATACTATTCGCGTTAGTGGTCATTGACCTTTTTTCTCTCATTTTAACAGTCCCTTTGTAAGTGACGGGTAGGTACGAAAGCTACGTGTGCAGTCGACCTAACTTCGGCTATATTCTGAGCAACAAGATAATGTTATCGATTAGATATAGGATGATACGTGACATTATCAAAAATCGATATAATGCCACGATAAGATTTGGTATCGCGTCCTTTATGTAAGCCCGGCAGAAGGATGTTTAGTATAGAGGTGTTTTAAATGTTAATAAGAATAGACTCATTATGTGACTAGCAGTTATTTAAAAACCCATGATTTATATTACCAACCAACCCCTCTTCCCATGGGTGTCGCAAAAAGGCGACTACGCCGACTACTGGATACAATATGCGAACAACCAGTCTGGTCAGGGCAGGTAGGCCCAATTTACTATTTGTCTCTGATAAATTAATTAGCAAGGATCGAACTCTGCTGGAGAGGAGAGCTGGCGATTCGGGTGTGCTCCGGCAGTGAAAATGTCAATAGCAATTCACGAAAACCAACGTTGCGGGTCAAATCCTGTGAGGCGCTTACTGTTTTGGCATTTTATTCTTAAAATTAAATGATGGTTGGGTTAGTAAGCAATTGAAAGCAAAATGCGGGTTTAGTTACACAATTGATTTTATTTTAATGCTTACATAATAATTACGCCATTATGGACTGGACATACTTGTTGTTTTGTTGCATCAAGTCGTGCTTCAGTTTCCCTATCGCTTCTGCAAGGGTGTCGTCTGACGGCGTCGACTCTTCTAAACGTTTGCATTTCTTCAAAAAATCTTGTATGAGATTCTGACCTTCTGAAACCTCTTGGGATTTAATAGAAGTTTCAGCTTCAAACATGTTCGTTTCGAGCTGAGCTTGCTTCTCTTCAGCATACTGAAACAAAAGAGAAAGATGTTTAGGTGTGTAATGATTTATGGAGATGTACAGTACAGTCGACAGCACATTGAGACGTCGACGACGGAAAGTCGCTCTTATCACAACTATATAACATGCTACATTGTTTATGTTGATGTGCTGTCTTAATACAAAACTACACTAGCAGCTGCTGATCAGCGACGGCTGACGGCGGTCTCGGCCTGCGAGAGTTACTGATGACCGATTGCAGCGGTATAGTCCGTTACCTCAATGACAGAGTCCGGGAGGTCAGCAAGCCTAGCCACGTGGAGTCCCAACGAGTGCGTAGCGGGCCCCGGCACTATCTTGTGCAGCAGGATCAGTGGCTGATGACTGATTATTTCGGTATAGTCCGTTACCTCGATGTTAGAGTCCGGGAGGTCAGCAAGCCTAGCCACGTGGAGTCCCAGCGAGTGTGTAGCGGGCCCCGGCGCTATCTTGTGCAGCAGGATCAGTTGCTGATCAGCTACGGCGGCGTCAGCATGCTAATTTCTGGTGACTATTGGTTGTTCTCGTCAGCTGGTGACTATTAGTTGTTGCTGTATTACCTCAATGATCGAGTCCGGGAGGTCAGCAAGCCTAGCCACGTGGAGTCCCAACGAGTGCGTAGCGGGCCCCGGAGCTATCTTGTGCAGTAGGATCAGTTGCTGATTAGCTACGGCGGCCTTGGCGTGCGAATTTCTGGTGACTGTGTTGTTCCCGTCAATTACCTCGATGATAGAGTCCGGGAGGTCAGCAAGCCTAGCCACGTGGAGTCCCAGCGAGTGCGTAGCGGGCCCCGGCGCTATCTTGTGCAGCAGGATCAGTTGCTGATCAGCTACGGCGGCCTCGGCGTGCGAATTGACGACGCGGCCGGGCAGCGCCGCGGGGAGGCGCGTCAGCTCGTGGTAGTGGGTCGCGAACAGGCAGAAGCATTGGCACTTTGTGGCTAGCTCCCTGGAACGTGGATTGGATTATACAAGGTGGACCTACTACGACCTCATAAAGGAATCAGGAAGGCGCTGGATGCAGGCCGCCACCAACCGGCCATATTGGAAATCATTGGGGGAGGCCAGCTGTGGACGTCCTATGGCTGAAATGATGATGATAAGACTGATCAGTAAGACCAACAAAAATATTTAAGTCATGTCTTTAGAGCACGATACGAGGAAAAATACGAGGGGCTATTGGTTGTTAAAAACGTCAATCCTTAACATTCGCCTTTATGACTGTAACCTAAATATTATAAAGAGGTAGTTTGTAAGAAAAATCATGCAGGCATCCGCGAGCAAAGTTTTTTATATTTATAAACTTACTCTGCTATAGCCCAGGCAATTCCACAGCCCTCGTAGGTAGATGTGCCACGGCCTAGTTCGTCGACGAGGACCAAGGAATTCGGCGTCGCTGTCTGTAATTTACGTACTTATTTTAATTATTTATTATAAGGACCGTTCATTGTGGAAAACCTTGGGGGAGGCCTTTGTCCAGCAGTGGACGTCATTTGGCTGAAAACGAATTATAATGATATGTCGAGACTTTCTACAAAATGATGATATACTTTAATTTTTTGTTTGAAGCAGAAATACAGTTAACGATATTCAATTCAGTGTAAATTTCTGGCTCAGGACTTACGCTTTCCAAACGACGCCGCGACGGTGGGAACAGATCCGCGTAAGTTTTACGCTAGTAGCAAACCTCCGCGAAACTATGACAGCGGCAGCAACGTAGCGAAGTAAATGCAGAGATGTATATTGAAACAGTTTGGCTGACACGGCTTTGCGGCAGAGGTGTGCCACAGGGGAAGTGTAGGCCCTACTAAGCAGCGATCATTTGCTGGATGTAGTGTAGTAAAGCGGGCGGCGCAGGACCGGTTGTTGTGGACATTTTTGGAGGAGGCCTTTGTCCAGCAGCGGACGTTATTTGTTGAAACGAACGAAATGTAGCTACACCTCAGGACGCACGCGGGTCTAGGGTTACCATATGACAGGCTTTTGCCGCATTTGACAGGCATTTTAAGGTTTAGACAGGCTTGCGGCCGGCATTGGTCTGAGGCAGGCATTTTTAATGTCGCGGGAATAAAGAAAGAAATCGGCTTACAATGAGGGCTATCGTTTTAGCGCTCACCAGTTGGCGCCACTGTAGAGTAAGGTCCTGTCACTTGCTAGTCGCGAAGACAGTGGCGCCAACTTGTGAGCGCTAAAGTGGTAGGAGGACTATCGCATTTGCATTCATCAAGATGGCGCCACTGTAGAGTAAGGTCCTGTCAATCGCCAGGGGTGCCAACTGTTAAGTATAAAAAGATAGCCCTCATTGAATCAGTAAAAGCAATATTGATTACTCAAGAAAATTACAATACTGTATCTTGTGAAGATTTTTACGTTTATGTATTAGAAAAGAGAGAACTATTTAAAAAAAATGTCCTCTGACAAATATCAGTAATAAATATGCTTCTTCATTATTATCTGTTGGCTTTTACTTATTACCTACAGCGATTTACTTTAATCAGGCATTTTTCAGAAAAATCTGGCATTTAGGCACTATAGACAGGCATCCCTCTATTTACATATGGTAACCCTACGCGGGTCACAGTGCGTCACTCACCCGCAGGATGGCGGCGGACTCGATCATCTCCAGCATGAAGGTGCTCTGCCCCTTGTCCTCCCTGTCGGCGGCGCCCACGCGGGCCGCGAGTGCCCTCAGGCGCGGGATCGTGGCGGCGGCGGCCGGCAGGAGGCATCCCGCGTGCGCCATGAGGATGCGGGTCACTGTGCGTCACTCACGCGGGTCACCGTGCGTCACTCACGCGGGTTACTATGGGTCACTCACGCGGGTCACCGTGCGTCACTCACCCGCAGGATGGCGGCGGACTCGATCATCTCCAGCATGAAGGTGCTCTGCCCCTTGTCCTCCCTGTCGGCGGCGCCCACGCGGGCCGCGAGTGCCCTCAGGCGCGGGATCGTGGCGGCGGCGGCCGGTAGGAGGCAGCCCGCGTGCGCCATGAGGATGCAGACGAGTTACCGTGCATCATTGTCGCGGAGTCACCGTGCATCACTCAGTCAGTTCACCGTGCGTCACTCACGCGGGTTACTATGGGTCACTCACGCGGGTCACCCTGCATCACTCACGCGGGTCACCGTGCGAAACTCACGCGGGTCACCGTGCGTCACTCACGCGGGTCACCGTGCGTCACTCACGCGGGTCACAGTGCGTCACTCACGCGGCTCACCGTGCACCATTCACGCGGGTCACAGTGCGTCACTCGCGTGGGGCACCGTGCGTCACTCGCGCGGGTCACTTTGGGGCACTCACGCGGGTCACCTTGGGTCACTCACGCGGGTCACCGTGCATCACTCACGCGGGTCACCGTGCGTCACTCAGTTCACCGTGCGTCGCTCACCCGCAGTATGGCGGCGGACTCGATCATCTCCAGCATGAAGGTGCTCTGCCCCTTGTCCTCCCTGTCGGCGGCGCCCACGCGGGCCGCGAGTGCCCTCAGGCGCGGGATCGTGGCGGCGGCGGCCGGCAGGAGGCATCCCGCGTGCGCCATGAGGATGGAAACGCCGCAGGAGCGCATCCAGGTCGACTTGCCGCCCATGTTGGCTCCTGTCACTATGTGCATTATGCACTCGCCTGCAATAATAATAATAATAAAGAAGCTCTCGCTAGATGGTTGGCTCAAGGGTCAGATTCAAAAGGCGGTGATCCTCAGCACGGCACGCATTGTCCGGAGGTTCCTCAGCCTGTGACCCTGACCACCGGTAGCCTGGGCCCTGCTCCGCTGCCAGCGGGTTAACTATTTTTAAGATTTTTGTTTTTATAATGTATTTTTATTTTTTTTTGATAATAATTACATTGTAAAAAGAAAAAAATAAAAATAAGAAAGTAAGATGAATAAAGGAATAATAATAAGATTTATTTATTTCTCACACAAAAATACAGGAGACAATATACAATATTTAAAGAAAACTCATTAATGATTGTGTGAGACCGGAGCCTGAGCTAGGTAAATGAATACCTGTGTTACAGGTCACCGGGCCCCCACCACCACGGATTTGAGCAAGTATAGCTAGCAAAGGCGAGAACATTTTAAAATACTAATAGATTAAACAATTTCTACAAGAGAAATGATAAATCTAACCAAAAAAAAATCTATATTAAAAATTATATTAATTTAAATTGTATTATCAGATATAAATTAAATTGAATTGAAATATTAAACAAAATTGAAATAATATAAATTAAATTGAGTTGATATAAATAAAATAGAATTGATATAAAATTAAATTGAATTGGTATATATATAATAATAATACAATACCCGGCGATAAATATTGCACATCGACCTTTAGAAAGAGACATTCGGCTAATTTCGGTTTCGTAGAGCGTTATCACTGTCGCACTTGAACAATGACTGACAATGACGTTTTGTCAAAGTGTAAACAAACTTTATTTTAAATGTGTGCAATTGATTTAGGCGTAGTCACACGTTACATATATAGATGACCCACGCTGAACTGTCCCGCCAAACTCAATGACAGGGGGGCGCTACCATCGTTCAACTATATGGTTTCCAACATGGCAAAAATCTGAACCAGCGATCCGGTATTGACGGTGGCGCCCCACTGTCAATGTCATCGACAGGACAGTCCAGTATTTTGGAACTATACATACCTACCCACCGTAGCACTTTGACAACGTGTGACTGCGGTTTTCCAAACATGAAAATTACTATGCAACTACATTAGCAACTTTGTTCAGTTCAGTATTCTGAAAATCTTGTTTCATACTTTTTCAGCGTCGTTTTTTGTCGTAGTTGGGTTTTAGTTTTTTTACTTTTTATTATGTGAATTAAATTGCTATAAACTTTTTATAGTAGTGAACGAAAAGTGGTTCACAATGTGTTAAGTGTTTGTCGAAGAGAAATACTAAGAGTTCGGACAATATTTTCATTGAATAATGTTTTGTCAATGACGTTTTGTCAATCGTATAGGTAGTGTGCGACAGAGATAACGCTCTACGAGCCGAAATTAACCAACTCTCTTTCCAAAGGTCGTTGTGCAATATTTATTGCCGGGAACTGTACAGTTGTGTTACTTTTTTTTTGTTTGATTGCAAAGTTATAACCTACCGTTACGTTAAATTATAATCTCACGCGTTAAGAGTGAGTATTATTATTATTATTTATTATATTATAAATTGACGGATATCACAATTTTACAGTGACATACATGAACATAAAGAACTTTTGAAGGGTCACACATCTTCCTTTTCCGACTTTGTAGGCTGCCGTGTCAAAGATTAATGTTATTTAGCTATTTAATACGATTTACAATAGGGGAGTCTCAAAGCGCTTTTGACGAAATATTGCAAGATGCGCCCTGATCGATAGACCAACGACGTCAAAAATTGAATGGTTGAAAAGTGAGAGATCAAGAATATTATGAAGGCTCAAACCTCACTAGTTTAATCATTAAAACTGGGTGGAAATACAATAGCATTCCGTTCTACACTATGTTATCTACTAAGAAACTACATACCTCGTTTAAAGACCACGTCATTGGGAATATAAGACACTCCCTCCTGCACTTCAAGGCACGGATGTCTGACATCCTTCAGCACCAGTTCGTCCAGGCTCTCTGTTAGCACCGGCCGGCAGTACGGGTAGGGCGCGGTTGATGCGGCCACGGCGAACGATACCAACACGTCTAAACGGGCCAGGATGTGGGATAAACAGAACAGGCATTCGGAATAGCCAGCTGGAAAAATAAATATTTGTTGATGTAGGTAGTAAGATAGAACTTATTGCACACCAGACTTTTACGATCACAATATAATACAAAAAATAAACGACCAAGTGCGAGTCAGACTCGCACATTGAGTACGAAGCAATAACAAAGCTACGAAATGGGCAAATGGGTTAACAATGTTGCTCGTCTAAAACAGTTGTCTAATTGCACCATCTTACTTTGACAAACGTCAAAAATCTTTCAACTCCATACAAAAAGCACCGGTAATCGACATAGTTACCGTTCAAGTTCGGTGGTGCAACTCAGCCTATCTGAGGTGGAATTGTGTAAAGCAATCGTAATCATTTGACAGTTCATAACGTACGATAGTCAGTTAAACAAAGCGTTTGACAGAATAATCGTACGTTATGAACTGTCAAATGATTACGATTGCTTTACACAATTCCACCTCTGTTTAGACAAGGGTACTGGTACAGTGATGTCGAGAGCAGATCAATCCACTACAAAATCATACATTTTCTCAGTTGATTTAAAATTCATTTGGTATTTCATAATTTACAATGAGACGACTTTGTCGACTGTATATTTTCATGGATTTCTATTGTTTCGAATTAGTTGGCAAATGAAGACTATGAACGTTGTTATGTAATTTGTCATTTATTTATTTACCTGCAATCCCGACGATTTCTGTAACTACCTTATCTTGTTCTTTTTCATATGAAGACTTTGTATGAACATATTCTTCAGAGATGTTCTCCAAATTATTGGTCTTAAACCTGACTCCTCCTTTCACAGCGTCGATGATTGTGTACTTTTTGTTACCACGAAGTGTTTGTTCTTCTTTTAGTGTCACTCTGAAATGTCATTAATTAATTTGATTTCATGAAACATTTTAATTAAATGTTGGTAAACTAAGTTCTAAGAATGGTGTATTATTTTTGCATAATTTTTAAGGTTTCCTTCAATCTTTGCCTTTTTTTTGCCCTTGCACAATGTAATGATGTAATTCAATGTAACAAATAAATGTAAAAAGACAGCTTGTAAGCCAAATGTTTGTACTAATGCTTCCAAAATAGCCTCCTTTATTCATAACATGTAAGTTAAATATGAGCAAAAACTATCTCACCTAAAGCAGAACCCTCCCTGTGGGTTCGTTTCTAGTTTTACTGTCTTGCCAGCGTCTAAGCAAAGGTCCCTCGCCGCTTTGTTCAATTCCTTGTCAGCTGAAGACTGAAGCTGTTCTAACTGTTCGCTGAGACTTTGTAGATTTTCATCGAATGATGGTTTCACCAGGAAATCACCTGAAACACAAGGTTTTAACGATATTTCTATTACTACGATGAATGAAAGCAATACGGATAAGGAGTTGCGGATATCGTTCTTTCGTTCGTTTTAGCCGAACCATTGCTGGACAAAGGCCTCCCCAAGGATTTCCACAAAGACAGGTCCTGCGTCGCTAGTCGCGAATATATCTGGTATTTACTTTCCGAAAGCAAAGGGAACCAACACATTATGTACACACGGCCACACTGTTAACTATCCATTTCCGTTTTTGCTCTCGCTCTAATCAAATGATGATTCTTTGCGATAGAACGAGATGACATGACTGGCAATGGGCAGTTAACACTGTTGCCGATAGTACACACGGCCATAGTGTTAACTATCTATTTCCGTTTTTGCTCTCGCTTTCATCAAATGGCGATTCCTTGCGATAGAACGAGATGACATGACTGGCAATGGGCAGTTAACATTGTTGCCGATAGTACACACGGCCATAGTGTTAACTATCTATTTCCGTTTTTGCTCTCGCTTTCATCAAATGGCGATTCCTTGCGATAGAACGAGATGACATGACTGGCAATGGGCAGTTAACACTGTTGCCGATAGTACACACGGCCATAGTGTTAACTATCTATTTCCGTTTTTGCTCTCGCTTTCATCAAATGGCGATTCCTTGCGATAGAACGAGATGACATGACTGGCAATGGGCAGTTAACATTGTTGCCGATAGTACACACGGCCATAGTGTTAACTATCTATTTCCGTTTTTGCTCTCGCTTTCATCAAATGGCGATTCCTTGCGATAGAACGAGATGACATGACTGGCAATGGGCAGTTAACACTGTTGCCGATAGTACACACGGCCATAGTGTTAACTATCTATTTCCGTTTTTGCTCTCGCTTTCATCAAATGGCGATTCCTTGCGATAGAACGAGATGACATGACTGGCAATGGGCAGTTAACATTGTTGCCGATAGTACACACGGCCATAGTGTTAACTATCTATTTCCGTTTTTGCTCTCGCTTTCATCAAATGGCGATTCCTTGCGATAGAACGAGATGACATGACTGGCAATGGGCAGTTAACACTGTTGCCGATAGTACACACGGCCATAGTGTTAACTATCTATTTCCGTTTTTGCTCTCGCTTTCATCAAATGGCGATTCCTTGCGATAGAACGAGATGACATGACTGGCAATGGGCAGTTAACACTGTTGCCGATAGTACACACGGCCACAGAGTTAACTATCTATTTCCGTTTTTGCTCTCGCTCTAATCAAATGGTGATTCTTTGCGATAGAACGAGATGACATGATTGGTAATGGGCAGTTAACACTGTTGCCGATAGTACATACCTACATAATATGATTTAGGGTTGATTGATTGATTTATTTCTTTCTTTGTTTTTTCAATCAGAAAGAACTGGCATTCGTGAATTCTTTACACTCCAGCGTCATATTAACCAAGACTTCTTCAAAATATGTAACATTAAGAAGGAAGATAGATTTAAAAATGCAATTAATTTTAAGCTAACCTCTTTCAACTGCTTCCATGTCCATAGTAGCCTCGATCATCTGCTGGTATTTGTTGAGGTCGTCGTTCAGTTCTGATATGGGCTCGGACAGTGAAGAGTGTACCGTCGAGTTGTCTGCCTCCGCCAGGCATTGTAGAAGTGCCGGCAGCCTGTTTATGGCCTGTGAAATGAGATGGTGAATTTTAGCTTTTGTTTTACTTCGAAAAATGCCTAAATTGTGCAGTCTCAACCTTGTATTTTTTGCCTTTTTTTTGTGCAGTTTCAACCTTGTATGTTTTACTTTGACAAATGCCTAAATTGTGCAGTTTCAACCTTGTGTAGCGTGTAATAAAGGGCTATAATAAACAAATTGACGTGTAATAAACAAATCAGTTAGTGCAACTTGAAACGAATTGATAAAGTAATTGACTGAACTCTGTTTCAGTAAAATAACACTCATAGACAACAACTAGTTCAAATAGGCGACAAAATACATTTCAAGAAGAGAGTCCAGGATACTAATTAATTAAATAATTACTAATTACGGATAAGCTTTCTCTCGCAAATTAGGTTCAACATCTTATTGCTGGTAGTTTTAAAAAGACAAATAGCTCAACTGACCTGATAGATCCTATAGCAGTCGTGCAGATTGGCCTTCTTCCTCGAGAGCCGCCTGGCCAGCGCTTGCAGGTCCGGGATTCTTTTTAGATGGTCCTCACACAGCTGCAAGCGGAGCTGAGAACTGCGCACTAGCTTTTCCACTACCTATACTATGTGAAGTCTGCTGGTAGTTATACAAAAGTAAATAGCTCAACAAACCTGATAGATCCTATAGCAGTCGTGCAGATTGGCCTTCTTCCTCGAGAGCCGCCTGGCCAGCGCTTGCAGGTCCGGGATCCTTCGCAGGTGGTCTTCATACAGCTGCAAGCGGAGCTGAGAGCTACGTACTAGCAGTTCTATACTATTTGTAGTATTAACAAGAAAAATAGCTCAACTGACCTGATAGATCCTATAGCAGTCGTGCAGATTGGCCTTCTTCCTAGAGAGCCGCCTGGCCAGCGCTTGCAGGTCCGGGATCCTTCGCAGGTGGTCTTCATACAGCTGCAAGCGGAGCTGAGAGCTACGTACTAGCAGTTCTATACTATTTGTAGTATTAACAAGAAAAATAGCTCAACTGACCTGATAGATCCTATAGCAGTCGTGCAGATTGGCCTTCTTCCTCGAGAGCCGCCTGGCCAGCGCTTGCAGGTCCGGGATTCTTTTCAGATGGTCCTCATACAGCTGCAAGCGGAGCTGAGAACTGCGCACTAGCAGTTCTATACTATTTGTAGTATTAACAAGAAAAATAGCTCAACTGACCTGATAGATTCTATAGCAGTCGTGCAGATTGGCCTTCTTCCGCGAGAGCCGCCTGGCCAGCGCTTGCAGGTCCGGGATCCTTCGCAGGTGGTCTTCATACAGCTGCAAGCGGAGCTGAGAACTACGCACTAGCAGTTCCACTATGTCAAGGCTCTCGTTGATCAGGGGGCGTAGTGTGAGTTTACGTCAAACGCATTCGATATCGACTGCGTAAAAAAGTGACATTAAATGTAAGACGGATTGCATAGCGCCCCTAGCGGAAACTTTCAAGAACTAAAATCTTCATACATTTCTTGAACGCATTTGATATCGAATGCGTTTGATGTAAACACTACGCCCTCTGGTTTAGACGCTCTGGTAGATTTAAAAAAAATAGCTCCACCGACCTGATAGATCCTATAGCAGTCGTGCAGATTGGCCTTCTTCCTCGAGAGCCGCCTGGCCAGCGCTTGCAGGTCCGGGATCCTTCGCAGGTGGTCTTCATACAGCTGCAAGCGGAGCTGAGAACTACGCACTAGCAGTTCCACTATGTCAAGACGCTCGTTGATCAGGTTTATATCGCGGAGCGGCTGGCGCAGCCATTGGGCGAGGAGTCTGTAGAATCAGAAAAAATAAGTATCTTTTTATGTATGACACAATAGGTGGCGGTGCTTGTTGGCCGTCAGCATAATCAGGCTACATAATTTTGCTCTAAAATAGTACTTATTACTACTATGTAAGATCCCAGCGTTTAGCAAGCTTTTCCCGCTAAGTCCTGCACCTTTCCAGCAGTCCCAGAAGGTTCCAAGAGATCTTTCAACGACACACTTATTTATATCGTTTCAAGATCTCTATATCACAAGCACTATATTATTATATTTCTATAAAATAGCACACATCACAAGTACATAAGATCCTCCTGTTCGCTGTGTCGCTGACACCTTTGTAACGGCTCCACCAACGTTGCATTATTAAACCTTAACCGTGGATTCACTCATGTAGATGGTGACCGAGTCTTCAGCGATACTATGATCAAGCCTAAACTGTGACGTGGTCACATTCATCTGCGTAGCAGCGCATGCTCATATAATATTTATCTTTGTTCTAAAATAGCGCTTATCACAACTACATAAGTGTGTATTTACCGCTTCCCCTGCTGAGTTCTGCACCTATCTAACAGTCCCAGCAGGCTTCGGGACGGCGCGTGGGACGTATCGCCCAACTCTGGGAATACGTTGAGAGCGGACAACGCGGCCGCATCTAAGTGCAGGAAGCAATCCGCTTGGATTGTGGTCAGGCGGAACCTAGAAAAGAGATGTCGTTTTGGAGCACAGTACTGATTATTTGTTATAACTAAATCTTAACTTTTCTAAGGTCGTCAACTGATCAGTTTATGACAAAATATCAATTGACTTCTATTTAGGGCTCAAAATCAATCAAGTTCATTATCTATTAGGTGGTGCTGGCCACATTAATTAGGACTTATAACAGTAGTGTAACCAAAAAGTCCTTATCGGGAAATGGTCAGTGATTTACGAAAAGGTAGATAATAAGTAAAAAAAGCTTTTTATGGTTACAAAATAACATGCGAATCACCTTGCGAAATTAGTGCTGTCATTCAACAGTGCAATATATTTTATCGCAGCTGCCAAACAGGTCATGGCAGTCTCTTTCCTCGTTTCTGGGAAGGCATTACAGTCCTGCTGCTGGTCATCTTTGAATTTTAATAATCGGTTCAGGTCTTGGTGCAGGCCTTCAGTTGAAAATTCACTCTTCTTCAGTTTTGTTACGGTTACATTTGCTCTGGCCATCACTTGCTTCAACATTTTGTACTAGAAAAGAAAAGTAATTTAATTGTTAAACTACCACGTATTTACGCTCACCAGTTGGCCACTGGAAGAAGATTCTGCCTGTCACTCGCTAGAAGGTTTGATAGTGGCGTCAGCTATTGAGAGTTTGTATGAGAGCTGTAATCTATTCGTATTTTCACTCACTAGTTGGCGCCACTGATATGTAGGGGAAATGTATTTTATTTTTATTTTATTTTATTTTATTGTTAGGAAAACAAACAGCATTCTATAACACATATAGAGTTACCAATTAAACTTCACATTTGCCAAAATAGTTTTCACAAATAGTTTATACATAGGTATCGTTTTTAAAAATTGAGTAAACAGAAACAGAAAAAGAAAACAAATTTTTTAGATTCTTAACATAGAATATACTATGACTTGGCAATTAATTTAAACTCGAAATATCACATCGTTGTTAAAACAATAAATAGTTAGGTAATTACTGTTTTAACAACGACCTAAATTTGTTTGGTTTTAGGCTGAAAATATCTAAGTGACAGTATTTGGAGTTCTTCATTATTTAGCCCGAAAATCGCTAGATGGATACTTAAGAAATTACATACTATGAATGTCTGCAACTTCGGGTATAAAATTCTACCTTATTATCACACAAACATTTACACTCAGCAAGATTTGGACTTGAGTTACCGTTTTACTCCGATATCGTTGTAGATTTAATGTTTTTATAGCAGTAATAGAAAATCCATTGAAAAAATATAATAAAAATATATCTTACGTCGTCATTTTCTGCCTGCGGCACCAGGCATTCTGAAGGGGCCATCTGGACAGTAATTGTCTCCAATTCCGTCAGTAAATCGTCATCTGTGAACTCCGTAACTGACATTTGGTAGTCGCCAGCTGTAACGCACGCCACACCAAGGAGACGACCCTGGAAATAAAAAAATAAATTAAAAAAACTTCTACTGATTTGAACCTTATTTTTATACAAGTTAAGTTCAAAATTAGGTGGCATCAATTATATCTACCACTAGGTTTACCTAAATAACTAAATGCCATATGCAGGAGAATACATTTTTTGCCAAATGAATGCAATATCTAGATGAATCATTATTATGAGCTAGCTTTCACAGTGATAGACTAGATTAATAATGAAGAACGTGATAAAGTTCATCTACATGTTTTAACGCGTGTTAATGGTTATTGACACGTGACTACAGATCCATAAATATGAGTGGTGTGGTGTGCATACTTCAGTACATTATAATTACTGATTATTTTGATATAAGCTGGAATTGATTACTTATAAGCCTGCGTCATTGAGTAGTGTTGTGTATGTTATGAAGCAAGGAATTCAAGTAAAAAATATGTCCTTTTATTTTATTAGTAATAGTTAGTAGTTGGATAAAAATAACTCATTAATTGGATTTCGTCACTCGAGTTATAACTCAGGATATTGTGCAGTGTGCACAAATAGTTTTGTGTATGTTTTTCTACTTACTATACGCTAGGAATGTTTACTTAGTAGTACTACCAGTACTACTAGTGATGTATAGGAAAGCGACCACTGGTTTGTACTTTATGTTTGCCTTGACTGAAACGCAAAAATCTCTACAGTAAGTACACTTAAACAACCTACACAGATTATACAAATCATTTCGTCACTTACTTTGCTCACAGCATCCGTCTTTATATTAACAGCCATGAGGCAGGGCGTATTCTCGTCTGATCCTCCCAGTCCTTCCCCTAGAACCTCCTCCAACTGAGAGAGACATCCAGGAGAGCCTTTGTATTTCAGCACCCAATCGCTGTTCTTCACTGAACCCTCTGCCACGTATATCTCCACTCGGTAACGCCTTACCTGGATTTAGAAATGAATATCATGAAACTTTATGTAACTTATTTTGATTATTAATACTCTACTACTGGTTATAACAGTCATGTATGTATTTTGAAAATGTTGTTTTTCTTGTTTTTGTTTTGCTACTAGAGCAATAACTACAATTATAATAAAGGTGAATATTTTTAATGTACTCGTAATAATATCAACTCTGCTTCTTTTCTGATACATTTTACAAGAAAAATGTTATCAAGTTTGAGAATGGTTTGATTGTAAAATACATAATACAAAATTCTCGGTTATGTGAGCATATTGCATCAATCAATTCCACTAATCAAATGTACTTAACTACGTCTACTCTATAAACGGCAATGTTTTTATTTTGATATCAAGGCGAGTTGGGTGAACTTGAGTGCGATAGTAAATTAATCTTACAATATTATTATGTTGTTTATGAATGTCTGAAAATTTCTTAGAAGAATACGTCTTATATTTTACGAGTCGGTAGAAGGTAAGTACCTTTATCTCTCACATATTATTTTATTAAGCCAAACATGAAAGTTAAAAATTGAGAAGACTATATTTACTACCTTACTACTTTAACCCTTTAAATCTTAAAAAAAATATCTAAGACTCAAATATCGTCGTGCTTTCCGGCTACCAATTTGGCACCTATAAAATGTCGAATCTCTACCGTGAATTTTAGATAAGTATCTATAGTACCTATTACAAAATTAATCTATTTTTAATAGAGGCTGCAATGATGTCTTGTAATACGTTATAAAACAAACTTGTTGGTACGGAAACAGCCTTAACACTGAGAGCATTTTCAATGTCTTCAGATATTGTTTAATCGTATTTACCACTAACGAGCATTATGATAACACGGTGACCTATAAATAAAGAGGTCATTGAGAGTATTGTGCATGATATAAATAAATGATGTTAGCATTAATTTTAATCCATATAGACTGAGATTGACAAAAATTATGGATAAACTTTGAAAGTTGGAGTACAAAACGAGCAGAGAGCAGAGAAAAAAGGTTCGGCTTTCGGCAGACGGTGTCCATGTCCAGTAAATATTACTGACGAATTTATCAACAAGATAGTCTCCGGTTCTCCGATTAGATATCCGGTATTGCCATCGTCAAGTTAGATGGCAAAGTAAGCTGACCAGTCCAGTTTTTCAATTTTAAGTTCAGGCTACCATTTTTGTTAGGTAATAAATAAAATTGCATACTCATTGAACCCATTCCTCCTTCTTCCTTGCATTTTGTGGAGCTTTCCCCGCCAGAATGCCAGAGCTTGTGTAATACCTGACTGTACCCTAACTACTAAGTTCCGTCTTATTAAGTTTAGTACCTACATAATGACACTACTAACTAGTGTTAGTAGTGTCATTTAGCCTCCTAAATGCATTTAATTTTAGCTCAGATTTATCTATTCCTCTAACCACAAGTCGACGAAGGCGTTCGTCATTCGTATAAATTAGGAAAACAAAGTTAATTATCAGCAATATTTTTATGAGAATTTTGTCTGAACTATATTTTTTTCCTGTTCATCTAACCGAATCTGTGTCATGGACATTTTTATTTTTTTAAATTTGAATACTAAGAATTTATGGATTGAGTACGACAGTTTTAGTATAGTCTAAGATAGGTATCATCAATATAGCAGTGAGGTTAAGCATTTTAATTTCGTAAAAAAAAAACTAATTTATTATTGATATAGTTAATATCTACTACTATAGCAATAAAACCAAGAAGACTCACTAGCAACATTTTTTTGATAAGAATCTCGATGTTTCCTTAGGAGAGCACCAGGTAATCAAACCGGTTTGGCTCGATGCCCCTTCTTGATGTTCGATATGGAAGAGAACACTTCCCTGGCTGCTGAGTTATTTATTCACTGCTGAGCTATTGATTTCCTACTCACCAGCTAAGATGTCTCACCAGCAACAATTTCTTGATGAGAATCTCGAAGTTTCCTTTCGAGAGTACCAGGTAATCCAACCGGTTGGGTTCGATGCCCATCTTCTTGATTTCGATATGGACGAGGACACTTCCCTCCTGGCTGCTGAGTTATTTATTTACTGCTGAGCTATTTATTTCCTACTCACCAGCAACAATTTCTTGATGAGAATCTCGAAGTTTCCTTTCGAGAGCACCAGGTAATCCAACCGGTTGGGTTCGATGCCCATTTTCTTGATGTTCGATATGGAAGAGAACACCTCCCTGGCTGAAGTGTGGGCATCCACGCCGTGGACGCTGTAGTAGTCATTGCGGTCGAAGATGCGAACTGTTGTCGGTGGTTTCTGGGGAAATCAAATCATTTGTTTACTTATGCTCGGACGGTCATGGGTGGCGCGACCTGTCATTTGCCTATGATTGCGCCGGCGATGGCGACCTGCACGTGTTGGTGTGGTTGAAGCTTTAGGAAATGAATCGATAATAATATAAATGCGAAATATTCTTATGCTTATGCTCAGAGTGTAATGTAATGTATAGAGGACTCTAGTTCGATCTCATTGACTGCAGGACTAACAGTGGCGGATTTACAAATTTGCCGCTAGAAGGCCATTCAATTTTTGCCGCCCCTACCTACTGACTTTTGAAATTCAATAGGTACGTTAGTTTAATCCCGTTATTAGTATGATTGTGAACTTAATGATATTTCTGTCAGTTACTAGATTATTATTGCAACCCGCTATGTAATCAAGAGTTTAATGTTGACCTAAAAATAGCAGTATGTACTAATCCTAAGGTGGGCAAAGGCATGACTTAAAAATACCTACACTATATGAACACAGACAAAATAATGTGTGGTCAGTAAACATTGTTTTTGGTAAATATTTTTTACTAGCTTTCCGCCCGCGGCTTCGCCCGCGTGGAATTTTGTCTGTCACAGAAAAACTTTATCGCGCGCGTCCCTGTTTCAAAAACCGGGATAAAAACTATCCTATGTTCTTTCCCGGGACTCAAACTATCTCTATGCCAAATTTCATCAAAATCGGTTGCGAGGTTTAAGCGGGAAAGCGTAACAGACAGACAGACAGAGAGAGAGACAGAGTTACTTTCGCATTTATAATATTATTAGTTGGGAAGTTGGGATGGGATTAGTTGGGATTGGACTTAACAGTTTAAAAACAATACAAAGAATTTATCTATACTAATATTATAAAGCTGAAGAGTTTGTTTGTTTGTTTGTTTGTTTGTTTGTTTGTTTGNATTTGATAAGGGTCGAATAACTGCACGTACTTATTCTGAAGGGGATTTGGTACTCGTCAAAATTCAAAGTCAAAGTAATGATGGCAAAAGTCGAAAATTATTGCCTGTTTTTAAAGGACCTTTTAAAGTAAAAAAGGTCATGGGAAACGATCGATATGAGGTGACGGATATAAAAGGTACTGAAAGAAGCCTTAAAAAGTACACTGGCATAACAGCCGTCGAAAACATGAAACCATGGATAAATATCAATAATTGGAGTGATTAGCACTACTTATCTATTAATAATAACCCGTGTTGGCAAGGTAATAACAAATTTTCTTGTATGAAATTATAGATCGTAAAGTATTATTTAAAAAAAAAACAGTTTATATACACATTTATTTATTTGAAAGAAGGTTTTACATAATACATTATTATTATTTACACAATAATGAAATTTATTTACATTTTGTAACTTGATTGATTCGTATTCACAATATAAATTAAGGTTGCGGGTCAAGATAAAATGCTTTAGATTGGTGACTTACACATTGTTGGTAATTTTTCACATGCGAGATTCACAAATAAGATCTGGAGCGAACTTGGTACGCTCAAGTGTGGCATATGTCCCTTTGAGTGCAAGTAGCTCTGTGATTAGCGGGAAAAGACTGACTTGGTCTCTTAAATGTGGTAAAGTCCCTTTAAGTGCGAGCAGTCTAAATAAATGCATGTGCATGAGATTGGTAATGTGTAAGTCAGCAATAATTGACAAGTTGACCGCATAACCTTAATGTAATTAAAATAATATATTCTAATATTCAATTTTGCTTCAGCATTTTATCTAGACCTGAAGTGCCTGGGGCAGGCACCGCGCAGAATGGCCGTGTTGGCAATCGCAATTATTTATTGCGATATCCGGTGGGAAGTGACGTCATTGCCGCCGAAAAATCAAGACGCAGCCGGAAGTTGTCGTAACTCGCTGTAGATGGCGCCACCCGGCGTAGATGGCGTGACTCGTCGTAGATGGCGCCACTGCGGCGCTCGGGCGAGTTAATAAAAGAAGCTACGCAGTCGTCGGAGCGCCACTACGTTTTCGTAATTCGAAGTGTAAACTTGAATAGTCGGACGGAGTTATTTTGATTATATTTTGAGTGTAACTTTTGTAATTATTTTAAAGTTAAATATATTTAGTTCAGTGAAGGCGTTGTTTCACTTTTCGTTAACACATACATACGAATTACCAGTAGATAAAGATGGTATGTCATACATAAGTACCTCCTACTAGGTGGACCGACGATCTGGTAAAGGTTGCGGGAAGAGCCTGGATGCGGGCAGCGCAGGACCGTGCATTGTGGAAAACCTTGGAGGAGGCCTTTGTCCAGCAGTGGACGTCATTTGGCTGAAACGATTAGTACCTAATTGGATTCAATGTGGTAACTCTAAATTGAACCACCACCAAAATAGATGGACTAAAGACATATTATACACTTCAAATTTCATCCCGATAAAAAAGTTGTGTGATTATTTCGAACAGGTTAAAAATCTCTAGAGCCTACCAAAGTATTCGATAAGGATTACTTACCTAAGCTATAAATAAATCAAGTAACAAAATCGTGCAACAAACCTTTCGAATAATCCATGTGTACAACAAGTATGCCCCAAGCGGTCGGCACTGTATCCACTATACTAGGACGGCTTCGTTCGTTCCTCTCGAACGGGAAAACTAACGTGGGCTTTCCAAACTGTGATCACGTCGCAAAAAATAGAAAAGAATTATGCAAAATCCCGTCATAGTGAGCACCTATGTTCGAGCATTCTAAAAGGAACCCCCATGCATAATTTGAGACTCCTAGCTCTTGTAGTTTCTGATATTTCATGATGAGTGAGTCAGTCCTTCACCAGATCGTCGGTCTACCTAGTAGGAGGCCCGTTCATGACGTACGTCTTCCAGCCCGTGGTCGCCACTCAATATCTTTTCTGCCCCAACGGGAAGAAACAAACGAACGAGTCAGTCAGAGACATTTCGCTTTTGATATAGATACATTTTGAGGCGATAATAACCCAACGGTGTTGGACGGTTGTTGGACTGACTTCCTCGTGATCCGAGACACGCTGGTTAGAGCTCCTTTGCCGCTGAACTATTGTGGTGATAGTGAACCCAATGTAGTGCCACAGTTTTCTTCTTCTTCGTCAAACACTCTAGTCAAAGTGGTCGTGGTTGCGCTGATGAGGTACACGATGGGGTGTTCGATGTCATCTCCGAGGGTAGCTTTCCTGGCGATGTGCTTCTATTTCTAACGGTTAGAGGCGTCGCGAGTACCCTGGACTATGGTGGACTGCGATCGACCGCGTGCTCTCTTGCCTTCCACCTGGTTCTGAACTACCAGTCTCACAATCGAGTTCTCATTGACCAAAGAACTTCAGTGCCACAGTAATTTCACAATAATTGTGGGAAATTATTTCCCAGGTTTCATAAAAGCCATTTTCGTGCTGTGTGACCGTGACGTAGTAAGTAGTGGAAACATTGTCGTAAGGTCAGGCAGATATCAAAGCCATAACCCACTTATGTCGCAGAGCCTTTGATCCCGGGCAGATTAACGTGCTTAGTCTTGGTCAACCCGGCTTCTTGATCCATGTTGCCATTAGAATGGGTCGGTAAATTGATAGGAAAAAACAATATTATCTAAGCGAATAAACTTACAAACTTGTTAAAGGTGAAATAGAAAAAGAAAGTTCCTACAGGAGGACTTTAGATTAATAAAGCTTGAAGGATTGATTAGATAATTATTTATGCAACACGAGAGAAGTTTGTATGGGGACCTATTAGGTGTATAATCTTATCGTATAAGATCGTATCGTATTGTATAATTTCTGTTTTTTTAAGCTGTTTTGCAAAATTTCTCGCATATTTCACTAGATGGTGTGACCAAATAATAAACTAGTCTTTAATATTCTATGTAATAGAACTAAAGGAACTCCTTGTAAGAATACCTGAAACATAATTTTAATTTGTACTAAAACACCCACACAGTCCAAGAAACTTTTTATAACATAGCGTTTAAGGTAAAAAAGTACCTACACAATTAATAAGCGTAGGACGCATTTAACAAGTAAAAAATTAAATAGGTCCTTCTAAATTAACATTCATGTTTTTTATTAAAACTTTTTGATACGACATGCTGGAAAATTGTGATAAAGTGTTTTTAACAATGGCACATGAAGTCAAAATTGTGGCATCTTGAACTGTAAATAATAGAGGCGATTTTTCAACAAAAAATACAAGTTTATGTGCTAGTTTGGATTCTTCGACTGAAATAAAGTGTGGGCGTTCTCCTTTAAAATGAAACTTTTTCGTAACAATATTTTTACAATGTTTCGATGGCGAAACCAAACATAAAAAATAAAATTCACATACACGTGTAATATTTTTACTTTGCTGAAAACATGCTTCCATATTTCGATACGAAAATTGGCTTGAAAGAATATCATCGACTTCCATACAATTTTTCCGGGTTCAATCCTGATAGATTGGATTGCGAACTATGCCAGTACCTAAAAGTTCGCTATTGGATACCTGAACATGAAAGGGATTCCATATTTGCAATCCTTTCGTGACTATAATAATGTACAATCAGCGTCAAATATGTAGTTCGTGACACCCAAAGTGACCAAGAAGTTGACAACACAATCTTTTTTTAATTGTAACAAATACCTATTGCGAACTTTGTGGCTACTTTCGTTTGCTCCAACAGAGCGAGCCACAGTCTGGGGCGGAGCCGCGAAAGAATGTTTAGGCCGTCTAGCTCGGACAATAACTCGCAGTTCAGTCCCAAAGACTTTGGGAGGACAC